CTTCTGCTTGCTGTGTCTCTCACAACCCGGCTGTAAAAAGGGACCCCACCCAACCTCTACTCCCTCCCCCATGTAATTATCTGTTGCTATGGAGATAGACTACATCTCTCCGCCCTTTGGAAACACTTATTGATATGGAGATTTACTAAAGCCAGGTGAGATTCTGCAAATATTGCAATTTTACCCACACCCACTTTCTCTTAGATTTTGACCTGGAGATTTTTTTCTTTTCTTTCTTGTCAGTTTTTTGTTGCTTTTAAGATGCGTTATATTTTTCCCAACACATATAATTCTTTTCACCTGATGCGTTGGTTCAAGCAAACTAGCTTGCATTGTGGGTAAAATTGTAATATTCCAAGAATATCTTGCCTGGCTTTAGTACATCTGCATGTCAATAGGCGTTTGGGGGTGGAAAGAAGTGTGGCTTTAGTGCATTTGCATCATTTCTCAGGGGTGGAGAGAAGTTCATCTCTGTATCAGTGGATATGGCAAGGAGGGCTTATCTGTACCTGAGAGGTGAGGGAGAGGGCCGGTTTTGCTTCTGCTGGAGCAGGAGAGAGAAACCGCCCAGGACTACTGTTTGTAAGCAATAAATGAATTTTTCTCCCTTTGACTGATTTCGGTTTTTAGACGTATTTTGCCCTGGGATTTCCTCTCCCCGGACTTACACCATGTTCCTGGAAGCCACATGATCTTAAATCCCTTAATCATTTGAAAATTGTAGCCACTAACTTCCAGGGGGCATTGAGGCTGCCTGGTGGTGCTCTGCCATTTCTCTGGGTCATCTCCATCCTTAAAGACCCTCACACCTTTCTCTTTCCTGCTTTCTTCGGATCTCTTTTTACAGTGCACCTCATGAGGGAGTACTTGCTTGAGAACTCTATAAGAAGCAACACTTGCATCCCCATTACTATCTTCCTTATATGTCTTAGTAATAATCTTACAATACTAATCACCAGCTAAGATACTAGACTTTTATTTGTTGATTATCTCAGGGTTGGTCTACTGGGAATATTAAACTCCCTAAGAGCTGGGATTTGCATGGTCTGCTCATGATCTTCACTGCTCATATCTGCTATGAGAGAAAATGCATGACAAGTACCTAGTTTTGGAACAGATTGTTGTACATTTTCGATCAAATATTTGTTTTTGGAAAACCTGTCTGTTGTGAAAATTTATGTTCCAAGATCTGTGTGGGTGAAGCAATCTTTACCGAGAAGAGAAGTTTGATGTGCTTCTCTTACTGTAAGCACCACATTAACATAGTGATGTGCCAGGGAGATTTCTGTTTGTTTCTCATTATTATTCTTATCTCAAATTAGTGTTTCAGAAAATACTGTTTCCTCTGTGCTTAATGCAGGATCAGATGTTTATAGTTTGTGTCTAGCTGGGTTGCATGGATGGCCAGTGCTGCAATAATGTCACAGTGCATGATGTTCTGGGGCTGACGGTGGGATCTGTACTGATGATGGCCACGGTCTCACTGCTGCCTGATAACTTTGAGCAGGGAAGACTGTCTGCCTCATCGAATATTTAGGATAACGATTTAGGTGTTATAATGAGCTGGACTTCATAAGATAGATCAAAGATGATGATGCCAGTTGTTTGACATCTCCCTGTGTCTACACACTTTACAAGTATCCTCTCTTCTTTCTTTGGCTGATGGGACAGGAACATGATGATGCAAACAAAAGCATGAAAATGGGCTTATGTGTTTCCACTTCTGCTCTCTTGTGCCCTGCCTCTTGCCATGAGAACATGCACGGGCTAGCCCGCTAGAGGGATGTGGTTTCTGCACAGAAAAGAGATGAATCATCCCAGGAGAGGCAATCCTAGAGCAGTCAGCTTCCAGTGAGTCAGTCAGAGATGGCAACTGGCTGAGTGAGCCCACCTGAGGTTCTCCAAGTCCAGCCCTGGAGATCTGCAGAACTTTCCAAGCAACCTGTGGACTGGTGAGGAATAATAATGTGGCTGCTGTTGGCCATTAAGGGTTAGTTTTTTATGCCGCAGTAGTCAACTGATAGATGGTGCAGGCAGAAGACAATCTGTGCCGCTTTTGTGGATTATTTCTGTTTTTGAGGGAGGTGCTAGTTCCTGTTGACATTCATGTTCACTTTCAAACAATAGAAGACCGCCACCTACTGTCCAACATGAGAACTGCTGTGTATTGGTTTATTGTGATTTCAGATCCACTTGTTTGTGGCTTCCATGAATTTATGGAAGAATTTGTTTACTTTGGGGAGGCAGGGTCAGAACGATATCATCAAAATTGTGCTACCACTTGTTTATTAGCACGAACAAATGGCAGAGGGACTGTGATGTAATGGACATTTAAACCTTAAATAACAAGAATTCGTGAGGACTTACGGAGAGTGCTTGGTCTCTGCAAGGTTACTTTTTGCTGATCTAAATAGCTCACTGAAGACCTTGGAACTGATTAGGAAAAATTCTGAGATGCCCTAAAATTAAGTGACATAAGGACTGGGTTATGGGACAGGGATAAGACAGAGACAAGGGAAATAAATCAGTCAACAGCCACAGGCTGTAGCTAACCAGAGACCCCACGTTCCTGGATGAAATCATTTGAACAATTACCTAGAAGGCCCAGAACACTGCATCCCTCTTACACATGAACACTGCCCGACCATCACCAACAACCGATCCACGAGCCTTCTTTCCGGACTAACCCACTGTCTACAGACTTTCCTGCTTTGGGTTAACCCACCTTCCTTATCTGTAGCCAGTGTGAATTTAAGAACTTTCTTTCCTGGAGATCCCTTATAAATGTGCCCTATTTCTTGCGTCTGGTGCACAGGATGTTTCTGTTAACTGGTCTTGCTGGCTGGAGAAGCAGAAGCTTCCTGTCCCAGGACTCAGCCCTTATCTGGCTGTATCTGTAAAGGTTCCGTCAACCCTTTTGTTTCAGAAATCTCTCTGGCTCTAGAGTTTCTGATTCGTCAGGGCCTTAGCTCCTGCTGTGGCAAGGCGACTCCTTGCAGGCAGTGGTGAAATGCACAGTGGCCTCAGGAAGGAGATCATCTTGCCTGCCAACACCAGCTCCTTCCTTCTACCGACACCGTGTAGCAACAAGGACTTCTGATCTGTGCTGGCCGCTGGACGTCAGCTCTGGGTTGGCTAAGCCAGCCTGTCTGAATCACCTTGCAGGCAGGTTCGCCTGAGCTGGATTTGGACTTGTTCTCTTTCATCTCCCCTTTGCCTGGAACAATCGTGTAATTAATCTACCACTGGTTCAGAGCATGTTATTTCTTTATTGACTCATTAGGAGTCATTCTCCTGTATGCCATGGGCTTGAGAAATATTATTGTAAAGTATAATTCCCACAGTGAACCTGTGTTAAATGAATTACCAAAAAAGACAATCTCATTCTCCGAGCACAATTCGCCACAAACAAAACATGAACCGTCTCTGTTCAGTAAAGTGTCTAGAACAGTGTAATAATCAAAATGTCAACTCCTTTAAAGATCAAAGTTCCTCCTCTCTCCTGCCTGAGAACTGTGTTGGGCCCTGAGGCCTGTGCTGGGAGAGGGGCATGCGGTTGGCTCCTCTGAACCTGCCCAGCTCCTGCCTCAGCTCCTCAGGGCGGTGGGTGGGAGGGAGAAACCAGAGGTGTGTGGCGGGTGCAGATCCACTCCCACACCCTTGCCCAGTCGGCCCTGGCAGCACTTCCAGCCTGGCTCCCTTTCTTGTGGAAGCCTTCTGTGCACTTCTGGGCCCTTCTCCCACCAGGAGCCTCCAGTACAATCCCCGTAATGGGTACAATGCCTATTTTTAAAAATACATTTTCATGCATGTATAGAGAAGCAAATTAGATCGCAACCCTTGTGACACGTTTTCACAAGGTGAGCACATTGTATGGCCACCCCTAGACGGGGAGCTGGAACAGGATGAGGAGCATACGGACCCTGCCTTTCCTCTTTGTTGCTACTCACCCTTGCCCCCATTTTAACTGCTAACCCCACAGATAAGCAACTGAACCGCTTTTCTCTGATAAACCTGGTTGGCTTTTCAAGGACAGGAAGTCCTCTGCTAGCTCTCAGCTGATCAGTTTACCCCAACATATGCAAACAAAATTCACTGTTTCCAGGCTGATAAATTTTCTGGTTTCCTTTGTTCCCTGACTCAGTCTACCACTTGTGCACTTACATGTGAACAAACAAATAATAGGCAATGTCACTGAGTGGTGATCAAAGGAATATCTCTGAGTTATTTTTTTTGACAAATAACTACTCCTAGATGGCTTGAGAAATGACGTAACATAGTAAAGGCAGCGGTAAAGGGCTGTAAAATATGATAACTTTTTTGACTGTAAAGATTAGTTATTCTTAATCTAGTCACATATGGTTCTTACTTTTCTTTCAAATTTCCAAGCACTTAGGGAAATGTTATTTATTTCTTAGGTAATATGAGATTAATAAAACATTCTCTATTATTTCCACTTCTACCAGAAATCATGTTAAGCATGAATTGTTAAATTCCTTTTAAATATTTTAATCAGTGACATAAAAATGGATCAGCTTTAACCATGATCCATCCTTAGTTTCAACATTTTTTAGGATTTTGCAACAAAGAGGGGAATAAAAATGATTCAAAGCAGGACATCTCATTTGTTGCAAACACTGCTGGGTTCGAGATTCCAAAACACTTTTAGAAGGTTGGGATGGTTTAATGGACCAATGAACAAGTCTAACAATGGTATCAAATTGCATTTTTTTTCTGTTCCTCACTGCTTGAGGGGATCTTTTTACAAATTCTGTATCTATTGACGCACTACCAAGGGGAAGAACAATATCACTACTGGCCTTATTTATTGATACACAAGCTTATACCAGTTTGTTATCATCCAACTGTATCTTTCTCTGGAGATCATCCATTGCTTTATTCCCAAAAAGATTTCTCAGATTTCTAAGTCTCCAAATAGAAATACTTGGAAAGTCCCAAAGAAAAACAACATAGACAAAAACTATTCTCCATGTCAGTTTATATGATTCATTAAAATCACCTCCTTGAAATACATAGAAATATAATATAGACAATGCTACATCTAGTATTTAGATGTAGCATTTAATATATCTAGCATTTAATATATCTAGTATTTAATATATCTTTAAGCAGGAGAATCTGTTTTCCTATGTCCTAGTCAAATAAATAATCTTACATATTAGCATTGCTTTCCCTGAAATAAATATTTTCAGAGCTTTGGGGTACATCTGATATGTGAATCACAAATTTCTGTCCATCACTTAGGGTGATGAGGGCTTCTTGTCTGACAGGAAGGATGAGCTTGGCGGTGCTTCCTGTGGCCTCGTCTTCCAACAATACCTGGATGAGCTGCAAAGGGGAAATGTTTTAAAAAGAAAAGAGAAAGAGAAAGTTATACTTATTCCCTCTTGCAGGACCTACCATGTCCTTGCCCTTGGCCCTTGGCCTTGGCCTTAGACCTAAACAGGTAGCTTGTGCATTTAATCCTACTACATGAGGTCCTAATTTCTCAGGGGAATGCTTAGGGTTTGGTGAGGACTTCATGGATGGGATCTCAACCTCAGCATCGTGCAAGAGAGAGGGGTCGTGTTGGGGAGGGGAGCAGGTGTGCTCTCTTTTGGAAAAGGAATGGGGGATGTGCAGTTGTTTGCGACTGAGATCAAACCAACATCCCCCCCCAAAGACCTGGGAGAGCGAGCATCAGCTGGGAAGATCAAGGGAGGGCCTGTGAGGGGTCCGAGGGTCTCTGTGTGGCTGGGATGCTCATCCCTTCAGCTGCCTTCAAGGATGGACACCTGTTCTGCAGTCCTGGCAGTTCTGAGCTGACTTAGTTGCTGAAATTCCCACAGAGACCCTCTCTCTACCCTCCTTCAAATGTACCTGTCCATAAGTAGATAAGGGGAAAAACTTGTGAAAACAGTCATTGATCCGTAATAGATTTGAGGGATTGGCAGTTTCTGGTGTCAGCTTAAGTGCCAGCTCTCAGAGAGGTCATCTGACCTGCCTGAGCAAGTCTCCCGTCAGAGAAAGGCTAGTAGGCCGTCCTCCCTTAGCTCCCAGAGTCCTCGGGGGATCGGCAAATCCTCGGGAAGGATCACTTTCAAACAGAAAGACGTGTATTTTCTTGGTTTGATTTCATCAATCACCACCCCTACCCCCATAAGCTAGTCTATTTTGACAAAGATGTGCACAAGATAACTTCAGGCACAAGGTTAATGAAAATATACTTCTCACCTTTTCTCAATTTGATATTTACCATCACCACTCAATGAAGAGATGATTTTCCTCTCTCAAAAATAGTGATCTGTACCACTCTCTCTGTAGCTGAAGAGTTGCTTATTTAGAAATAGATTTTGCCATGCTTTAATCCTTGAGTCTATCACCTGAAGCGAAAACTGTGTAGTATGTTTTTAAAAAGAATATTCCTTATTTTGTATCAGTATGATGTTTTACTTTCTTCTTAAACACGCCTTGGCATCTTACTATTCTGAAGGTTGCTGGGGTGTAGAAGAGCGACAGATGGGTATGGCGATGGGGAACGCAGACCTCAGTTGGTCCCACAGGTGTGGGCAGCGCTCAGTTGTTCAAGGGATGAGGCTGCCACAGATCCCTGGCTGAGTGGGGTGTTAACTCATGGTAGGTGAGTGCAGCTGGGACACGGGGCATGTGTTTTTAGTTGATGATGAGTGCAAGCACTGAAGAATGAGTGCAATGACAATTGAGCGGAACTTCTTGGTGTTGGATTGTGTAAGCATTAGCACTGATTCAGCAGGCAGGCACAAACAGAGGCAGGTCTAATTAACCTCTGATGCACAGTACTTCAGATTATCTGACATTCATCTGCTTGTATTGCTTTATTGTATAGTTTAATGAAGTATTTAATATCTCCTCTGTTATTTCCACCAATTAAATATGGATCAAACCCCAGTGCTGAACTTTGGAGCTGCGAGGAGATTGGGTATAGAGAGTGTGATGGAAGGTGCTCAGACTAGGAGGTTTTATTGGGGAAATAATGGGCACTTATGGTTATGGGCACTAACTAGGTCCTAAGAATTTTTACAATGATTACCTTATTTAAACCTCATCCCATTCCTATGGAAGTAGATGTTACTATTATTATTAAATATTATTCTTCCCATTTTGTAGATAAGGAAACTGAGGAACAAGTAAATCAGGCAACTTGCCCAAGGTTCTCAGCAAAGAAGGTGGAAGACAGGGAATTGGAGCCCAGGAAGTTATGTAGAACTGCCCTCATACTATGTCATCAGACTTGAAGATACTTTAATTATTTCCAATTCCCCGCTTTTGGAGTGAAAGCACTTTTTAGTACCCTCTGGGGGAGAAAGGGCGCTAGGGAAGGACAGTTTTGGAAGGCATCTGTGGAGTCTGAATCCCTGTCCTGCCAGTTATACTCGAGGTGACCTTGGGAACATTGCTTGACCCCTCAAGAGCCTCAGTCGTGCTCTCTGTGAAGTGGGGGCAATGGTGGCCCATCTCACCGGTGGCTGGAAGGCTGTACTTACATGCCCAGCACAGGGAGGGCATTAGTGTCTGCTTTCCACTTGTTTCCAGCTGTGGTTGAAGAGGAAAAGTTGACTGCCAGTAACCATGGTGACCAAGGGGCATATCCAATGGCCCACTGTCCTAGCTCTCACCCAGCCAGGAGTGGAGAGCTTATGGGGACTCACTATGTTCTAAGAATCTTGCACACTTGGAGCTGAGCATCCAGCACAAATGCTTATCCTGTTAGGGCCCCACAGTGTACTTAGGGAAGCTTCCCACAGGCCTGCCCTTGCAGGGCCCTGTTACCAGGGGGGGTACACTCTCCAGAGGTCACGGAGCAGCAGAGACATCGCCTTGGGCACAGCCTGGCCAACTGGTCCCTTCTGCAGATGTAACTGGGCCTTCTCTCTGCCAACAGCCCTGGCGCACCAGCCCTAACTGTCCCCCCCTGTTCCTCTTCTAAGGAGGCCCAGACCCCCAAGCCCCCACCACTGGGGCCCCGACTGGGGGCCAGCATTTCCCTGTTTCACAGCTCATCGGTCACATGTGCTTCACGTTCACATTCACAGAGGAAGTGAGTTTCTCATTTATAGACCCAGGTCTAAATCTACTGCACCAAGAGCCTGGAGGCAGCTGGATGTAAGAATTTACTACTGCGAGGCAAGAAAACAAAGATGAAATACTGACAGAATTTGTGAGCCTGAGAGATACATGTCCTCTGTTTCTGCTCATCTTAGTTTTGTAACTAGCCCGGTGTCTCCTCTGAGTAATGCTCGGTAATAGTTTGTATGGGTTGTCTACGCTCTGGAGAACTCGGAATGAGGGTTTGTTCCAAAAGAAGGTCCCTGGAAGGTTCTGTATTCTGAGGACTGTAGGGCATGAACACTTTCAGGCTGTGACTCATTTCCATGGTGGTGACCACTAACCCAGGCTGTGGACAACATCCCTGCCATCATCCTCTCTTACTAAGCATAACCCCTCATGTGAAAAAGGAGGGCTTGCGGGTACAAAGGAAATACTATGTGATGTGGCTAAACTTCCAAAAACGTATACACAAGTTTTAGAATTATTTCTAAGACAATAGTTGTAAAGATTTTATTGTAAACTAGCAGCCCACTCTACACTCCTGGCCCCTGCCCCTGCCCCCTGCTTCAGTGGAGGAATTTCAGTTGCTTCCTGCATCAGTCTGGCAGTTTTTCCTGGTGTTCAGGCCCCATCTCTGACCTCTCCAGCCTGGGGGCATGGACCACCTTCCTCTGACCTGGTGTTGCAGGAGAAGAATGGACTCGAGATCATGCCAGCCAGCGCTCCAATTTCTATTGCACTAACTACTTGCTGTGTGACTTTGTGCAAGTCACGTAGCTTCTCTGGGTCTCAGTTTCCTCATCCATACATGAAAACGATAAGAGAGATACTATGCAGGATTGTATGGCTCCAAGGTAAATTATATGGAGAGTGTGTAGTAGGTGCTAGACAGCTAGCAATTCTTATTTTTTAAATCTTTCCAGATGTACCCCATTTCCATCTTTTCAAAGTCCTTTCTATTCAGACTATTCAGTGTTTGCCAGAGACATTTTCTGTGCATACCACTCAGTTTATCAGCTCGTGGTGATCTTTTGCTCAATTAGTCTAATCATGCCAGATAAGCTCTGGGAAAGCATGAACCAGGCCATCCAAATATTCCACACCTGTAACCATGCCGGGCACAAACCAATGCTTGATGCATCAGAGCTGACCAGCTATCAATGGATGAACTGTTATCATCACCTCGGGCAAAAGCACCTAAAGCAAAGATGGCTCTAGGGTCCTGCAGTCATCTGGACAAGATCATCTTTATGGGTTTCCTAGCCACTTGGTCATTCTTATTTCCTGTGAAAAAAACTGTGCAGAAGTTGGGGTCCTGGGGTCTGTACCTTATTGCCCGTGGCAGTGTCCACGAGGAAGCCCAGGACGCTGAGGACCACACTGTCCACACCCACAGGGCTTCAGCTCTGGCCCGTGGGTTTCAGTGTCCCCTGGTGCAGATCCACACCCGGGCTTTCATGTCCCTGAGCTGGTGAAGCATCTGGAGGTTGGGGAAGTGCCTGGTCTGGCTGGACAAGAGACTGGTCATCCAGTAGCATCTCCTTGTGACTTCCCGTGTCATCTTCCTCCTCCTCCTCTATGCATGACTGAAGTGTATGAATCACGTATTCCAAAAGCAGCAAATGAAACAGATGCCAGGAGCCTAGATTTACAGAATAACCAAAAATGAACAATTACATAGACAGATGGAGAAATAAACAGATCTAACTGTGAACTAACAATGTTTCTAGGACTGTTAATGCCTGTGTGCCAAATCCTCACTCCTCTAGCTGACCCAGATGGGCTCTGGGCAGGGCCCATCACCCATGCAGTATTCCATGCCCAGAGGACCCCAGCAAGATGGCTTTTGGATAGAAAGTGCAGAGAGCTAAATAATCTGAGCCATGACAGGGAACTTAAAACCCATACAGTGTGAGATGGGATAGAAACAAATCCTGCAGAGAAATGGGTGCTACTCCCAGAGCTGGAGAATGTGTCCCTTGGCCCCCCATGGTTGGCACACAGCATAGTAAGGGTTGAGGAGGGAGGAGATGTGGAAGCAGAGTGCAGAAGGGACCTGACTGCTGATTGGCGATGCTGGGAATGCAGTGCTGCTCCCCTCCTGCAGTCTGTGTAGCCGCATTTCCTGGTGAGGGATGTGGGTAAGGGAAGTGGCTGGTGCTCAGCACCAAGAGGCCTTCTCTCACGTCACCGGAGAGACTGTGTAGGGGAGACAGGAGGGCATGTGACAGCTGAACAGTCCGTGTCCTTGATCCTCCAGAAAAGAAAAGGACAGGCAGAGGGAGAGATCTGGCCTATTATAATTGCTAAAAGATAATTTTTTAATGAGGATGAAACCACAATTCTTATACAGATATATAATGGACACATGCCAAACATTCCATGTAACTCATTAACTAATGAGGGAACTAGTAAGATGTTGCACATGGTTCAAAGGAGAATTCAAAGGACTAAACATATAGACACTAAAGAATGCTGACAATACGAGTAGATGCAAAATGGATCTCTCATCGCTGTAGTCCATTGCATCCACCTGACACAGCCAGTTTGCATATCTGTGGAGAATCATTTGTATTAAAATTAGTTTGATACAATTTATAGAGTTATAAAATAATTCAGACAGTAAAAGGTGGAGATAACTTATAAAGGTATATTTTGCCTTTTCAAAGCTGTTTGTGGGTTTCAAGTAATCTTGTTGTCAATTTCAAAGCCTTACACGATGTTCATTATTCCTTGACAATGCAGTGAGAGATACTGGCTCTGTGGGATGGTCTGACCTACTCTGGCATAAGTCCGACCACCAACTCCTGGCTTATTTAACCTTATGAAACCATGGTTTCATGTGAAGAGGAAAAACTACTGGTGTTAATACTTTGACTTCAGATAGAGGTCCAAAGAGGGTGGATGGGGAAAAGCAACAATTACAGGGCCTAATTTCTTCCCATGGTTGCTCATGAACGCTGCTGTATCACTTTGCTGCGGAAAATCATTAGCATAAAACAGAGTCATTTTGGACTTTATTAAAGGGGAGAGCCTCACTGCAAATGGGTGTCACCTACACGGCAGCTTATAGCAGCAACCCTCAAAAGAGCTCCAAAGTGTTTGCAAAGCGGATCTAGAATGGGGTTTGTCTTCTAGGCCTTGTTCTGCCCACCTGCTGTGCACCTGGCAGCTCTCTGGAGCAGAGGTTCCTCACTCTGTTAGTGTGGAAGTTCATAGAGAAGAGAAACGTCTGTCCACAGCTGTGTGCTCAGCATCCAGGAAAGGTTCCTGGGACATTGTAGGGACACACTCAAGATCTGTTGAAATGAATGATCCTTTCTACGGGGCTAAAGGGCTCCCTGGTGAATTTCCCTTCCTGCAACTCTTCTGTGCCGTGTCTGCCTCACAGATATGTCAGACAGGACCTTCCCTGACAGAGAAAGACCATCTGTTTGACCAGAAAGTTTGCAAAATGGATATTGCTTCACTCTTTCCACCATCTGCATACAATGGTTATTTCTGGAACTTAAATATGAGTGCCCCCAAGAACCCATTTTTTTTCTCCATCTGTTCCCTTGGTGCTTTCCTCAAAATATCCCAAAGCATACAATTTGAAGACAACAATGCATCCAGCAGTGACAGACTTGACCAGAGAAGCACGGTCCACCTGTTTGATGGGCTACCTGTTGCCATTAAAAAAAAGATTAGCAAGGTTTTGTATGGTTTTCTGTGACCGTGTTGTAATATTTTATGTAAGAAGGTTAAAAGTAGGTGACTGGATTCTACATGGCAATGTGGAATATACTTATGCTATAAAAACATTTTTTAAAGGCAGACTGCGAAATGGCTGGTATTCTCTGACTCACCAAAACTGTCTCTGTGGCACAGGGTCAGGGCTCTGCTCACTGCGGTGAGAAGGAAATTCCATCTCAGCTGGAAGCTGGCAGCCAGTTTGATAAACTCCTCTTTGCTTCTGCTTGGCTATTACATTTTTGTGAGAAAAAATGCTGGAGTTTATGATAAAATCAAGAAGAGCATGTTTTCAAATGCATACATTTGTCATGCATAGACATTTTCAAGAGGCACAATGAAAAGGAAAAATAAGGTGAGGACAGAGACAGGGGCACCCTGTCCTGTTCCTGGTCTTGCTCCATCACCTGTGGACTTGTCGAGCCTGGCAGAACACTTTGAAGGCAGTGGAAGGAGGTAGGAAATTGGTTTACATTTTTTTTTAATCCCACACAATTTTTACAAAGAGGGTCACTTGGGAAGCATGACAAACAGGGCAGGGCAACCTCACTGAAATCCATGTGGCAGCTGCCATGGAGGGGTGGCAGGCCATTTGACATCGGCTGAGTCCAATGTTGTGAAAAAGTGGCCCCGAATCCCATAGTAATGTGAAAAAAATTGGTGGTAATTTTGGAAAGCACAGAGCTGGCCACGGTGCTGTGTCAATCATCGGAGGACCGAAAGGTCCCACCTGTGTGTCCAGTGGAGCCAAGGCCATTCACCTGACAGCATGAGTGGCACTAAACTGGGTACCACGAGGTACCTCTACAAGCAGACTAAAAAACTCCTCATCTAGACTGAGCCTTGGGCCACACTTCAAATGAATTACAGACCAGTGGAGTCATTCGCATTTCACATGCTTGTGCTGGAATGAATGCCCCCCAAGCCTCTCCTGAGTCTCATCGCCTGCGTGTGGACCATCCACTAACTCAGCCACAAGTCTCTGAAGAAGAGATGCTGAGACTAGCTAGAAAGGAGGAATGGCCTTCCTCATCTTTGCTTCTCTGCCCTTCTGCTCCACCGACAGCCCTGACATACGGAAGGGCTGTCCTGCACTGTGGGTGGCAAGGTGTCCTTCCCAGGGCTTCTGGTCTACTGGGCTGGTGTTTCTGACCCTGAAATGGAGCTCTGGGCAGGAAGCCTGGCATTCAACAAACACAAGAGCATTTCCTAACAGTCCGGAGAGAAGTAGCTCAGGCCATCAGAAGTAGCTCCCTACATGATTAGACGTGGACCATAAACATCACTGGGCCTGCCCTTCATTCACCACCAGTGTGTTTCAGGTTCTACACTGAGAAATTACTCCGGGGCTCAAACTGCACGAGAACCAGGCAAAAGAAACCCATGCACAGGTAAATGTTTCCTCTGCGAGCACGTGCCAGATGCTAACCACCAAAGCGATTAGTAATCCCCGACAAGCCCAAGGGTTTGCATTTTAACAGTCTGAGTATTTTATTGACAATAGTCTGTTTTTTATCAGCCAAGCTGTTTTACAGAAACAAGCCCTTCAAAGGCATGCAGTTAGAAAAACACCATTTTTCTAACATGCCTCGTTTGTGAAGGCTGCAGATCCGATGATGCAGATGAGGGCACACAGCGTGCTGCAGGGTCCAAAATGCAGGGCGAGCCCAGTGGGTATTAATGGCCTCAGTGGGCTCATCCTGGTTAGGTTTGAAGCTGAGTGAGCATGCAAACCAAACAACTGAGGATCGACAGCTTCTATCAGCGACCACCTGGCAAATGAATACATCTCTGCAGCAGTGCGATTCTAGACATGTTACCACTGTTACCACGAGGGTTTGCCAAAGACCAACGAGGAAGAATAAAAACCATATAGATCTAGAATGATTGTTTTCCAGAAGCAAAGAAGGGAAATAGACATTTGTCAAGGTTGGAGGGAGCTTTCAGGCTCCTTCCTGAGTTCTCTGGTCCATGTCCAGGAGGTTTGTGGCCCCTGATCCCCTGCGGTCTAGTGGACTCAGTCATTGTTTCTGCCCTTTCTCTTCACTGGGAAGACAGGGAAGGTCAGGGCCAGGCGGGGTGGGAACAGGGAGGAAAGAAAGGTGGCCGGAGCTTATGGAGAAGCTCAAAGTCCTGCAACCAGTTCTAGGCTCTCCAAGTCCTCCTCTCTGCTCCGGAGATGTCTGCTTCTCTCTCGTGAGCATTGTCGTCTCCCTTTCTCTGCTTATTTTAATCCTACCCACCCTTCATGTCCCAGTTTAAACCCCGCCTCCCCCATGGAAGCCTTTCCTAACTGCCTTGGTCTTCAGAGGATGATGTCTCAAGGGGCAGGAGGCCCCCAGCTGCCTTGTTTGGGTCTAAGTTTTCAGGCATAGCCCCAGCTCCCCAGCCACCGGCCCTGACACCCACTGTGGGCCCCCTGGGGCAAGGGCGCTGTGGCTTTCTCTGATGGCATTCCCAGCTCGATGTGACTGCTGGTGCAGATGGAGGTGACAGTCCAGCCAAGGACCCTACTGAAGTAACTCCCAAGTGGCATGTTGACCAGAAGGGCCAAGGTACTCCAAACCAACTCATCTTTGATTTTGTGAAATCAAGCCTGACACTTCACTGGGAGGCTCCTGCAAAATACCTACACAGGCACTCTTCTTCCCAAACCGACAAACTCCTTCTCCTCTTTCTACACCCTCTCACTTAGGGCAAACACATACTCACCCATGCTCACCTGCAAGCATGTGCTCACCCACCCTTGCTCACCTGAGCACACCCATGCTTGCCCATGCACACACATGTCCACCCTCACACACGCATCTGCGTGGTATGCTAGCCTCTGATTCCTGTCTTGCTACGGAAGTGAAACACACTTCCCTGTCCTTAAGCACCCTCCCCAGCCTTGACACATTTCTGGCCAAAGAAGACTCTTTGTCATTCCACCAGGTCATGGGCAGTTGGTGCTATAATGTAGCTGGAATGACCAACACCTACTTCTCTCTAACAAAAAAATTGTGGCTTGGTACCTGGAAGACATGTGCTTGGAGATTGGGAGACAGACAATTCAGGAATACATCGAGGTCTTTTGATGTTCCCAGCAAAGCAATTAAACTGCTTAAGCCTATAAAAAAAACAAAACAAACAAAAATGTCGTGAACAATGTAGAATTTTTCTGTAGGTATTTGTATATTAGGACACCTAGGAGCCAACGTTCTGAGGCTGGATATGTCACCTCTGTGGTCATCTAGTTCAGAGTTACATGGTCTTGCCTCTCAGGAACACCTCTGCCACTTGTTGAAATGGAGAGAAATATTTTGAAATAATAACAACACCTTATAATTATCCAGAACCCAGATTCAGATGAGCTCACTGCACAGTACAGACATGATCTCATCTATCTTTGCCATGTTCACAAAAGGGGTAGTTTGTTAATTTCCTTTAACTGATGGTGGACATCAAAGATGCTGAGGGACATGCCTTGCCTGGGGTTACACACTCAGCACAAACCTGAAGGGTGGAGCCGGAACACGTGTGATGTGGGGACTTGGGTCTCCACCTTTGTGATGCTGGCATATACTAAGCAGAGTTTGGAAAACACCGTAGGTTGTCGTGGCCTGGGCTGGGGCTTGGCCAGGATTCATCGGGAAGATCTTCCAGGCACACCTAATGTTTGCCTGCCAGGGATCTGCAGTGGCCCCTGGCATGCAGTCTCCCTGCTGCGGCCCTCTTGGAAAGACACACAAGATGCCCGCAGGAGCACAGGAGCCCTGGGCGGCCAGTGAACAGCACCCGGGGAAGAGGCCTCACTCTCTCCTGGGGCTCCCTGGGCTCAGGCTGGGGGCAAGGGCAGGGTTTGGGTGACCACCTGGGATTTCTTGGGGAGCCAGTGGCCTTCTGGGCTCCTATTCTAATGAGCACTACTTGTCCATAGCTGCACAGTTTGCTGGGTTTAGCTGTTCACCCTCAGTTGCTGGTTTGGTTAGAAGGGGTGTGTTCCACAGGAGGACCTGGGTTTGGGGACATCCGGGCAACAGGGGCAGGGGAGATAATCAAGGGACAGGCGGGCAGAGGCAGAGGCTACTCACCAGCAAGCATGGCCCTATTTCAGTATTTTAATAACTGGTACAATCCTACCAAAGTCGGCCGTACTTCAAGATCGAAAAAAGAGAACCAGATACTTTGTGGTGCTTTTATACATTGCTGAATCCACGTACCCATCTGATCATGATGCGCTGCAGGGTCACCATGTGCCAGCATGATGGTGGGTGACCAAGATGGATAAAGCCACAGAGGACCACTGAAAGTGCTCACATGCCCCGGGGAGGCAGGCAGCTTTATGCAGAGCTGAGTGTATGGGGTCAGGCCCACAGAGGAGGAAGCTGCCAGGCTTTCCTGGGGCATCCTGGTGGGGTGTCCAGAAAGGGCACAAACTGGAGCTCGGCCCCCATGTTGCCCTGCCAGCGACTCTCATGCAGAGGCCCAGAGATTAGCCCATAGTCTGGGGGATGGGGTCGTGAACCTTTAGCAGCTCCCCTCCTGCAACAGCTCCCAGGTTCTCCCCCAAGGGGGGCAAACTCCTGTTACTAATCTGACTTCCCAGGCAGCCAAGCTAACAATGCTGTCAGCCTGCTTGCGAGCTCTTTGTAGAAGGGAATTTTTTGTCTTGGAAAATAATTACAGTGATCAGGTAGTAAAGGGCAAGAATATCCACATGCTTAATACCATTTGTTTGTAATGTAGTGAAACACAATAAAAGCACCATGGTTAAACTTCACGTGAAAAATAATACTTGATGCTGACAGTAGTGATGGCAGCATCTGGCAAGGCGGACCACTGAATCAGTCCGCTTCAGACAGTTGCCATGAATCTGTGCAGGCACAAGATCAATGCACAAGTTTTCTTTTTCTAAAGCAGACACTCCAGGCTGGTTTCCAGAAAGAAATATTCTCAAGCAGCATCCATTCATCTCTTCATTCATTCACTCAACAAACATGCATGAGCACTGCAGCCTGGTGGACACCTGCGTAGGTCTGGGAGAGCGTTCTGGGGGTCTTCCTCACCCCCAGCAGGAAGACAGGAGAGCAGACAGAATGTAATATCAAAGAGTAAATTGTGTTCTACCTCTACTAAGAAATTCATAAATTAATGATGGCCATGCCAACCCCAAATATAGACCAAACGCCCCGATACTGCAGGCTGCAGAAGGAATATTACATTGCTTCTCCAGGTCCGTCTCCAGGTCATCTGCACCCCTCGGATCCCTTGCCAGGGCTTTCTCAGAACCATCCAAAGTGCCTTGACTGATGATGGCACATAGATCTGACTTCAAAATGTGGACCCGCCGGTCATTCTCCAACACCTCTCATAGTCTACAGATAATGGGGAAGCATATCACTTAATAGAGTCTGTCCTTGTACTTTCACCCAATCCCCCCTGTCCAAATCACCAAGACTACTCTGTTGTTGAGAAAAAAGAAAAGTGGGTTTGGGTATTACCTGTTAAAACTGAAGCCTAAATAATAATGAAGATGTTGGAATTCCACACATTCCAGAACCACCATTTTGAAAATCGGCATTTAGGCACGTGTGCTCTGGGCCCCCCGCCCATACCAGCTCTTCCCCGCCCGTTCTTCATCCTCTGCCCCCGACCCAAAAAGCCTCTGTTCCTCCGGAGTGGGAACAGTGGGTGACTGAGGGTCTGCAAGGAGCATGTGTTTCTGAAGAAGCAATCATGTTGACTGATTGTGGAAGGCGTCACCCCTCGGGCTGTTAAGTGACTCTCCCAGTGACAGTAAGGGTACAGGCGGGGTGCAGAGCAGGCTCGCTCTAGAGTCTGCACCTGGCACTCCAGGTGGGCTGGGATGCAGGCCTGCTGCTGGACCATCACCCACCAGGAAAGTAAACAGGAGAATGGGCTGGGATGTGAACACAGAATGGGAAACAGGCCCCGGAGCTCAGG